TCCTCTTACCATTAGTACCAGACAGCCTCTTCAAGTCTATACCTTTAGCCTGGCTCTTCAGTTGAGGGAAATTTTTGTTCCTGCTAGGCAGGCCACAGTCTAAATTTTGTCTCTAAATGTCAGATTTACTTAGATCAGGTGTCAGCAAACTACAGCCCATGGGCCAGGTCTGGTCTGCCATCTGGTTTGGTGAATAAAGATTTTCTTCAAAGACAACTACAGCCATGTTGGTTCATTTATGCTTTGTCTATGACTCCTTTTGTACTACATGGTGAGTTGAATAGTTGTAACAGAGATCATATGGTACATAAAGCCTAAAATATTACTATCTAGTTCTTTATAGAAAAAGTTTGCTGACTCCTGACTTAAATCACTGAAGATCCCTTTATTACTGAATTTATCACATTTTATACAAAGGCTATACATACATTAGTATAGTAGACAGATAGACCGGGACTAAAACTCAGCTCTGTTACTTAAGTGTGATCTCAGGAGAATGTCTTAATGTCTCTGACTCTTAGTTTTCTCTTTCTCTTTGAATAGTAAGGCTTCTGTCTTAATTGACACATGCCAAGATACTGACACATAAACAAAATATTATTAATACATAAAGAGTTTTGCCAATCTTTTATGTTTAGGTCAAAATTTCAGAGATCATACAATTAAAGGCAAAGAAAATAAAAGATGCTTAATAACAACAAATATTTGTCATTCTTAGGGCACAGGAAGAGAAAACAGTGGCATCAGCTTGAGTTAGGTATAAGACAGAGGTGGGAATTGGTCAGTAAAAAATCTAACCAATGGAAACAAAAATCCAGGTTGTGAATTTCCTTGCACAGTTCAGATTTTTAACAAAAAATTCTACAGGCAGAGATAGCTTCACAGGCAACAGTTTTCCAAAAATCAATTTCTGATTGATTAAATGTCAAGACTTGAAGAAAGAACTTCTGGTTACTTATTGAGCTAAAGGAATAATCCTATTTTCCTCACTATCACTGAATATATTTCTTTGAGAATATTAGTAAATTTAGAATCCCAAAGGTAGAGTGATTTGACCTGATTAAAAATATTTTTTTCCTCATCTCTGCAGATATTCCAAGCAACTGTCAGCAAGTTAGTTATTTTATCATTCTAACCAAGATGATTTACTGTTTGGGGGGCAGGGGAGGGCTGAGATGTTTTAAGTTGATATAAGTAGCTGAACTGACCAATTGTTTTCAGTTCCCTGGAGAGATCAGCAGTCACAGCCTGGTTTTGGGGGGGAATCAGGATAACTGAGTTTTAGAAGGGAGATTCTGGGGGCATTTACTCTTTTTTTGACGTTGTTACTGGGACAACTCTGTCCTGCATGTGACAGCCATGGAATCAGAGCTCCTCTCAGCTCCCAGGTGAGGCAGGTGGCCTGTGCAGGTATTGTCGTGCATCTGGCCAAGTGGGGAGTGACAACCAGAAGTATGGGAAGGGCTCTGCTCTGAAGGCCTGTCGCACTTGTGGGGTGTCAGATGAGCAGAGAGATGAGCCCTGGTGCTTGATGCGGTGGGTGGAGTGGGGCGGCTGAACCCCACCCTCGAGCTGCCTTGCGGATTCTAGTTTTTTTCATTCGAGTGTCCTTTCTTTCCCTATTTTCACTTGTCACACACATAAAGGGCAGCAAAATGCCAACCTGACCCAACTGAAAGGCCTGGAGATATGAAACTGTAAAAGAAGATAATGATTAGACACATGTGGAGGCGACTGCAGACCCTTGATAATTGTGCTTCACATTCCTGTTTAACCTTTTACCTAGAAAAAGGCATGCATTTAATAGACATGTTCTGGTTTACTGAAAGAAAGAAACAGAGAAAGAGAGAAAGAAACAAAGAGAAAATAATTTTGTCTCAAATCATATGGGCACATTTTTAGTATTGTACCATTCGAATGTATTAGTTCCTTAAAGAAGTCTCAGAACCTGAAAATGGAAATTTCCTTGGAGGTCACTTCATCTAAATTTGTACTTATGCAGAACTCTTCTGCATAACTACTAGGTTCATTTATTCATTCAACAATTTTTTTTTTTTTGAGACAGAGTCTCGCTCTGTTGCCCAGGCTAGAGTGCTGTAGCATCAGCTTAGCTCACAGCAACCTCAAACTCCTGGGCTCAGGTGATCCTCCTGCCTCAGTCTTCCAAGTACCAAGCAGCTGAGACTACCAGTGTGTGCCACCACACCCAGCTAATTTTTTCTATTTGTAGTATAGACAGGTTCTCGCTCTTGCTCAGGCTGGTTTCAAACTCCTAACCTCAAGCAATCCTCCCACCTCGGCCTCCCAGAGAGCTAGGATTATAGGCATGAACCACCTTGCCAGGCCCATTCAACAATATTTGTTGAGCATGATCTATACCAGGTATTAATCTAGGCACAGGGTTCGACGAAAGTAATGAACATTTTTGCTTTTATAGAGATCTGCTTATATTCCAGAGCCTATGCTTGGACAATTTCAGTTATTGCAAGCTATCAGTTTAGATGGCAGTGAATCTGTTCTTAAGATTTTTATTTAACAAACTCTTTTAGAGAAGCATTTTAAACATTTTACAAATACAGTATTAACTTGTTGAATGCTCTAATAAGCCTGTGAAGTAGATACAATTATTATCATTGTCTCTCTTCTACAGATGAGCAAGTGGAGGCACAAAGAGTTTAGGGAATGCCCTAAGGCTGCACAGCTGGTAAGCAACAAGACCAGGATTAGAACCCCACAGTCTAGATCTAGAGTCTGGGCTCTTAACCACTAGGCTACAATGACAACATTTGCCTAACTTATGCTTATGACTTGGTTCAATTTTTCCTGATGTTGGTATTTCTTACCCTAAAATGTTTAGCAACTTTATATCTAGCTCTTGAGATCCTCTCCTATATACTCTAATCCACCAGATACAGCCAAACAAAGACAACTCCATACTGTCTTGAATTACATGATTTACAGAGGAGGAGACAGCTCTTCTTTAGGAAGTATGAGCCCCACTGGCCCTATCACTCTCTCTGCCCAACCAAATAAAAGGTCACTGCCTGCCACACACTAGGTGGTTAATAAGTGGTAGCTCTTGCTATTAATTAGTAAATTTCTGGCTCATTAATGCCCCAGATTTCCCAGTTCAGCTTCCTTCCTCTAGGCTTGACCTAGAGGAGAGGACCTCATGAAGCTGATGAGAGAGACATTGTCATCACCAACAACAGAAATGGGGGGAGATGGGTGGCTGCCTTCCATGGTCACTTAACCAATCCCTCCCCACAGCATGTCATACCTTGGATCTGAAAAAAAGTCATTTATGTCATTTCGTCATGGAATAAGAAGTGAAAAGGATAAAAGTTTGAGTAGGGCCACAGTACTTTTCAAGTTTTTCTGAGTCATCTCATAGGTATGTTTAATCCTTTAAAAGGAATTCAAAGAATGCCAAGTACCTTCTTATTTCAAATGGAGTAGTCCCAAAATACCTTCTACCATCAACCCCCAATAATTTCTGGATTATCTCTCCTGGTTCTTCTTCCCATAATGGATGAAATTAATCTAGTCCACGGTATGACACCTGGTTTCATAACCCTCAGCCGACAGACATGACTTCCTTTTCCTTAGCCAGTCCTCCTGCCTGCATAAATGGCTGATGAAAAACATAATTCCCCTTGCTTCCTCTCCTCTGCTTCTTTCATTCCAAATAAGAGGCTCTGCCCTACATAAAATTACCCACCTCTTCCTCTACCTTTAAGTATGTCTGCTCTTGCCTGACATTCCCTGCACATGCTTCTAAACATAGCTTGCAGCTGCTCCTGTCTGTCTTCCTGCTCCAGTCCTGCCCAGAAGGCCACTATCTAAACTAGGAAGCCAATTTCCATGAATATTCCATTGAATATTTCTGTGCAGAAGGGTGGGAATAGCTGTAGCAAAACCAGTCTTATAATAGCCAAGATGTAGGTATAGAGAAAGCAAAAATAACAGCTACTCAGTGTGGGCATTCCAAAGGTTCTTTGCCTGAGCTTATGAAAGAGGGCGTCTTTACAATTTTTTTCACACTACATGGTACTTAATTTTTTCCAACAAACATTTTAGAGTGCCACACACATCTGTAGAAAGGTTTTTAAAACATTATTTTTTTTCCCCAAATAAAGTTGGCAAGAATAATTTGAGATGTTTGCCAACATCGCTCAAAGAATTTGGCTCAGAATCTGAGTTCTTGGGACCAAACAAAAATATTGACAACTCAGGTAGGTTTCTATTTCCTCCAAACGAATTTGTTCATCTCTTCTTCCTGGTTGGCTATTTTTAAGTGCTTGCTGGTTGTTAGTCAGGGAAGAAATGTATTATAGGTCATTAACTTTAAAAAAAAAAAAAAAAAGAGGACATTTCTTTTCTTGAATTTTCCCCGAATGCTTTGAGTGGATTTCTATTGCATTATTGGTTGAGTATATTCTTGCCATGATAATCCACTTTTAGTAGCTTCATTTACATTAGCTATCACTCTGGAGAGCCATAGTAACAGCTCGCTGAATTACCCAAGAGAAATTACTCTTGAAAGTAATCATTGTGAATGAATTTTCATCACTTGGTCTCATCATTTCATGCTGTTTTGTCTCTTTCCTTTCTGTCCCTGATAAAAGTTAGGCATAAAGAGAGCTTTTGCTATGATCTCATTTTCTTTAGAAAACTTAGTCTTATTAATCATAGCAACTGGTTTATAGAGGCAACCAAAGTGTATCTTTCTCTCTCTCTTTCTCTCTCTCACACATACACAGTTTTGAAAATGCATATCGTCTTCTTCTTGTGGGGAACATTGTTTTAATTTACTTTAGTCTACAATATCTCACACAAATTTGGTTTTCTTGTAACCTAATTAGTGCAAGGGATATTTTTAAGTACAGGGGCTTGGGATGTTTAAGCAGGAAAATTGTATTGAATTTTTTTCAGTTACCAACACTAAACGTTGAAATTTTAAACATTTGGACAAAAATCTAGAACAAATGAAGAAGAACTTATTATTTGTCTGTCCATAATGTATCTCTGGCCTTATGGAAGTGATACATTGCTTACATATTAACTCAGAGTAAGAAAATATAGATGTGTAAAAGAATGTCTTAATAGACAATTTGCTAAATCATATTCTGTTACCTTGAGAAAACTTATTTATTAATAATTATTTATTAATTTATTAAAATTATTTATCAATGATCAGCTTATTTAAGAGCGTTGTTTGTAGATTAATGCTCAATGACATATATTACTAAATTTAGAAAACAGACAATAGCACACAGGCTGGTAGCAGAATTGTCTGAGGCAAGTTTACAAACAAAGGAATGAAAGGAGCTTGTATGGAATATCCCCAAAACAATCCTGGGAGACAATGACTATAGTCCCCATTTTACAGATGAGAAGACTGAGGCTCATGGAGACTCAGGTTACTATGAATCCCTTGCTCATGGCCATGTAGCTAGTGAGCAAGGGAGAAACACAAGTGTGCCCGAAGCCAAGGCCTGGGTTTTCTCCTTAGGCATGCTAAGTTATGGAAAACGGTCACGTGCTACAACTTCTCCAGCTGGACCGTGCATGTGAATACGTGGGGATTCTGTCAGAACGTTCTGATACAGTGAGTCTGGGTGGGGATTCTGCATTTCCAACACGCCCCCAGGCCATGCAGATGCTGCGGGTCCCGGGACCAAACTCGGAAGTAGTGCGATGCTAATATTCCAACATGATAATCATACCTTAAATAGAAATACTTCACAGCCTACTCCAATTCTGCATTTTTCTGATAGCTTCATTTCTTCTCTTTTCCTGAAGAAGTTAGAACAGACCAAATGAGGCAGAGTTTTCCCAGCATCCTTTAGCTCATCTTAAGGAAATGTGTTACTTTACATTAGTTGATAAAAAAACAAATGTGATTTTTGAAATCTGGGGACTCTGAATGCTAAAAAAAATTTAGCCTCTTCCTGCATTTATTCCCTTTTTCCAATATCTGTGTTTGTCAGCTGACTCTCTGTCTTTCTCACTCTTTCTTTGTCTTTTGGTTACACTGGTAATAACTTAATCTCTGAGTTTTTTACAAAAATATTTTAAATTCTGAATTATCATTTTACCCCGATAATTTCTCCCATTTTACAAAATTGAGCCCTATGGCTCATTTTAGTTCCCTCGGCTTTTTAGCTAGATAGCATGCCTGCATAATTCAGGCATCGTCAAAGCTGGAAAAGGCAGTATAGTGTTATTATACCTGAGTTAATAAGCTAGGTCGAACACTAGTTTTAACTTGGGCTGGATACATAACTTTCATGAGCTTCAGTTTCCCCATCTATAAAAATGGAAAAAATAATAATAAATACACATACTGATCACTTTTTGTAAAAATTAAATTAATAAAAAAAGATAATCCACGTAAAGGACTTAGCATAGTGCTTGGACAGTATCAGCTGTATCTTAAAGATTACGATTTCCCCATGGGGCTGTGGGAAGATCTGAGCAATTCAGGGTGGTGGTGTGGGCCCAGAAGTTTCCTTAGGTGCTGTGACCCAGTTTCCCATCCCTCCCCCTTGGCGACCTCTTGGTACTGCTCAGTTGCACACCACAGCACCAGGCGTCCAATCATTGCCTGCCAGGTTAGATCCAACTCTATCCTTATCCAAGCCCCTGATGACTTCCTTTGACTTTAGGCCTTCATTTGACTCCCCACCTCTTCTGACTAAGGTGGCCTTGTCATGTATTATCCAAACTGGAATGCTTCTTGGAATGTAAGTGGAGTATTCATGGGCTAACCAGCCTAAATAGGGACTGTTTCAGGCAGGTGAAGACATACTGGCATCCCCTTCCTGAGTCCATCCTTCTGGTTCTTTCCAGACTGAGTTCTTTACACTTATCTTCTGCCTTTAATCATTTTTAGGAAAAGAGGGCTTTCCAGATGCTTGTCTCTTTTTGGCTGTGTATACAGCTGGCTACCATCATGATGTGACTATGAGCCAGGCACTGGATTTTATGCAGATGCACTGTCTCACTGCATCTTCCCAGAAATCTGGGAGGTAAGAATGATTTAGGGAGGAGGCACAGGCTTAGAGGGGTTGAAGACTCAGCCTTTGGCACCCCCAGGCAGCAGTGAGCCTGTGCTTTGCACCTGGTTGTCAGAAAACAGGACCTTGCTCTTCTCACAGTGCTCTCTTGCCTCTTTGTTTTTCAAATGTCTAGATGAGAACAGCCAGCCTCATTTTCCTTTGCATCATTTAAATAGCTTGTCATTTCCAAAAGATATTAGATAATATTTTTTAAAAATTAGAGACCTGGGCCAGGCGTGGTGGCTCACGCCTGTAATCCTAGCACTCTGAGAGACCCAGGAGGGCGGATTGCTCAAGGTCAGGAGTTCAAGACCAGCATGAGCAAAAGCAAGACCCCATCTTTATTAAAAATAGAAAGAAATTAATTGGCCAATTAAAAATATGTAGAAAAAATTAGCCGGGCATAGTGGCACATGCTTGTAGTCCCAGCCACTCAGGAGGTTGAGGCAGGAGGATCGCTTGAGCCCAGGAGTTTGAGGTTGCTGTGAGCTAGGCTGATGCCACAGCACTCTAGCCCAGGCAACATAATGAGACTGTATCTCACAAAAATAAAAAATAAAAATAAATAAAATTAGAGACCTGCCTTAAAGTGCTTTCCACCGTGGCTTCTGAAGGCCGTGCTGGTAAAAACCAAAGGGAGTTCCACTTAAGTATCAGTGGAGCCTAGGTCTCTGTGCTCACAGTGGAGACCCTCTCCAAGGCCTCCTGTGGCCCCAGCTCTGCCACCTGTCACAGAACTTTCTAGAAGGGTGAAAATGAAAGTCAGCCCCCAGCACACTAACCCACCTCCATCTTAAGCAGTCCCACAAGCAGTGGCTTATTGGTATGTTCAATCCCAGACTGGATCATTTTTTAGTAACTTCTCCCTCTATTACACAAGTTTATTTTCAGTAATAATCCTATAATAATCAGCAATAACTATGCTTTTCATGATTTTTTCTTAAGTCTTAAAACAAATACCAATTTTAAAAAGAATAAAATTCTAATTTTAATGATGTTATTTAGTCTTGAAAAATATTTCATGTGTTAAAAATGTGAAGGGTCTTCAGTTCACACTCTGCTACACGTTTGAAACTTTAAACACAAAAACTCCCAGCAGTCAGTCCCACAGAATGACAGAATGGAAGCAACTCTGGTTCAGTTTCTTTGTCTTTACAATCATCTTGTTATTATCATCCTTGATTTTGTATCTGTGATTTAAAGCAGAAATGTGTGGTACGACAGACACCAGGGTCATGAATTTCCCCAAACATTTACCTGAGTCCTTGTGAGTCAGGGACTGTATACCTGGACGTTTTCCAAAATAGTTTTCATGTCAGATTCCATGTTGTTAAGGGTACTAATTTGAAACTTATTTATGCTGATATATTTTAAAGAATCAGTGTTAACCATAACAATTATTTAGAATGTAGACCAAAAAAAAAAAAAAGATTTTTTTCAGGGAAGAGTATTTTACTACTGATATTGTTCAAAATTGTGGTGAATGGTGACAATGGGAACAGACCGATTTTAGTTCACTCTGTTATTGTCTTCAGATTATCTACAGACACTGTAGCCTTATATTGTCTAGACACTTCCCATGGCCCTACACTTGGGGCCCCACTGCCTGAAAAAACTAAAGGTCAGTGTTCAAAAGTGTTTAAAGAATCCTGTTCATCCCAATTTTATCTATCAAGTGTCATCTGTCGTAAAGAAACATTTATTAGAAAAATATTTCACAACTTCTAAGAGATCTCCAGGGGGCTTTGCCATAAAGTGCTCTTGTTGAGCTCCAGACACCTACAGGCTAATGCCCTGGGTTTGTCCCCTGTATTAATAATGCCTCCTGCTCATTCATCCACAGGACACTACCCTAGTTTACACACCTATGTTCCTGTCTTCACATGTGTTTCACCAAAAGTGTGAATTTTGAACTATAGTCAATATGAATGTACAGCATATTGTATTAATCAGGGCTCTTTAGTGAAACAAAACCAATAAGGGTCTGTGTGTGTGTGTGTACAGTCATACACCACAAAATGACATTTTGGTTAACAATGGATCACATATACAACAGTGGTCCCATAAGATTGTAATACTGTATTTTTACTGTGCCTTTTCTACATTTAAATATGTTTTAATACACAAATACTTGACATTGTGTTGCAATCCCTACAATGCTCAGTATAGTACCATGCTGTACACGTTTGTAGCCTAGGAGCAGTAGGCTAGACCATACAGCCTGGGCATGTAGTAGGCTGTACCGTCTAGGTTTGCGTAAGTACACTCCATGATGTTCGCACAATGATGAAATCGCCTAATGATGAATTTTTCAGAACGTATCTCTGTTCTTAAGCAATGTATGACTATATGTGTAAATAAAATGGAAATTGGCTCGCTCATCTGTGAAGGCCAAGAAGTCCCATGATCTGCCATCTACAAACTGGAGAACAAGGAAAGCTGGTGGTTTAATTCAGTCCAAGGCCAAAGAACTAAGAATCAAGGAAGGTGATGTTGTATATTCTGGTTTAAGTCTGAAGGCCCACAAACCAGGAGCACTAGTGTCCAGGGCCGGGAGAAGACACAAGTCTCAGATCACAGTGAGAGAAAGAAAATTTGCTCTTCCCCCACCTTTTTGTTCTATTCAGCCCTCAACAGATTGGATGGTGCCCACTTGCATTGGGAAAGGCCATCTTCTCTATGCAGCTTGCCAGTTCAAATGTTGATCTCTTCCTGAAATACAATCACAGACACACCCAGTGACTAGGTATCCCTTAGCCCAGTCAAACTGATACATAAAATTAGTCATCACACATACAATCTTACTACCTAATGACCCCTTCATTCCTTGCGTTACTGATAGTGAAGATTTGTACATGGCCTGTCCACTTGGTTTTATAGCTACCCAAAGCTTTTGATCAGCACTTGGAAGTTAATTTTGATCACCCTAGCTCAGCCTGAACTTGAACCTTAGCTAAAAGTGCTAAGGCAGGAGTTCTTTGGGCCTTATTTCAAGAGAACAGGAAATGAGTAGCCATGCTAAAAAGTTTACCTCCAAACTATGAGATTTCAGAGGGAAACAAAGAGCCATCTCTGTGTACATGAAAGCAGGCAAAGGAAATGCCCTGAGGAGAGGAAATAAGACATACTTGGACAGTGATGCTGAGATAAGGGAAGCACAAGAGAAAATGTAAGAAAGACACAGGTGAGAGAGACCAGGAGAGATGAGGAGTGTGGGAGGGCAGCACTAATAATAATAAGTTGCAAATGAGAACCAGTGTGCAAAGTATACCACTAAGGCCAATGAAGTGCCAGGAATGAAAACCACCCTAACAAGAGAAAGTGAAGCCACAGCAGATATTTTATGTGATAACTCAAAACACAATGACCAACCAAGACAGCAGAGCAACTGAAAGGTAGAGAAACAACCCAGACCCAGACCTTTAGGGTCTGAACTTGAGTCCACACTTCGTGTCAGAGGCTTAGTGACCAAATGAAACTCTTTAATTTAATTAAAGAAGCAGGAATATACCTGATCTTGTATGTAATGGTATATGCCTAAGATGTGAATATTTCTTAGTAGAATGGGTTCCAGCTCTATCCAGGAATATACAAGAGGTGCTATATCACCATTGTTTCTTAAAGCTGAGTAGTATTCCATGGTATACATATACCACATTTTATTAATCCACTCATGAACTGATGGGAACTTGGGTTGTTTCCACATCTTTGCAATTGTGAATTGTGCTGCTATAAACATTCGAGTGCAGGTGTCTTTTTCATAAAGTGACTTTTGATCTTTTGGGCAGATGCCCAGTAGTGAAATTGCTAGATCAAATGGTAGATCCTTGTATCACTTTGAGGTATCTCCATATTGCTTTCCACAGAGGTTGAACTAGTTTGCAGTCCCACCAGCAGTGTAGGAGTGTTCTTCTCTCTCCACATCCACGCCAGCATTTGTTGTTTGGGGACTTTTTCATAAAGGCCATTTTCACTGGAGTTAAGTGATATCTCATTGTGGTTTTGATTTGCATTTCCCTGATGATTAGAGATATTTAACATTTTTTCATATGTTTGTTGGCCATTATTCTGTCTTCTTTTGAGAAGTTTCTGTTCATGTCCTTTGCCCATTTTTTGGTAGGGTTGTTTGATTTTTTCTTGCTGATTTTCCTGAGTTCTAAATAGATTCTAGTCATCAGCCCTTTATCAGCTGTGTAGCTTGCAAAAATGTTCTCCCATTCTGTGGGTTGTCTGTTTGCTCTCTTGACAGTTTCTATGGCTGTGCAGAAGCTTTTTAATTTGATCAGGTCCCATTTGTTTATTTTTGTTGCTGCTGTGATTGCCTTTGGGGTCTTCTTCATAAAGTCTTTGCCTAGGCCAATGTCTAGAAGGGTATTGCCAACATTTTCCTCTAGAGTTCTAATAGCTTCACACCTAAGGTTCAAGTCTGTTACCCAGAGTGAGTTGATTTTTGTGAGAGGTGAAAGGTGTGCGTCTTGTTTTTAGTCTTTTACATGTGGCTATCCAGTTTTTCCAGCACCATTTATTGAATAAGGATTCTTTTCTCCAGTGTATGTTTTCTATAATGGAAATCATAATAGATTAGGTTCAATCATTTGAAATTGCCAATATGCATTGATTTCTTACCTATTAAAAATGGCAATTTCAGGGGGGAGGATCAAGATGGCAGATGAGAAACAACACCAGACTGAGTGTCTCTCTGCAGAAAAGACAGATTCTAGCAGAGATTAGAAAAAAGAAGTAAGAAGACAAGCATACAGTGGACGAGGGCTGGAAGGAGGGGTACCCGAGACCACAGGAGACTCCACGGGAGGAGGCTGCGGAGGAGAACTGGAAGCTGAGACCGCTGGAGCAGCCCGGAGACCAGCGGGAAGGGTGGGTGGATCAGTCACCTTTCCCCTCTCCTGCATCTCGGACTGCTGGTGGGCTCCCCAGCGGGTGGAGAGACCTGCGGACACCAGCCCAGAGACAGCCATGGCAAGCGAGTGGTAAGGCTATAGCGGACGCTGCACCAGGCTCCCAACTCCCGCAGGGCACCTCCGTGTGCACAGACCCAAGCCGCACGGCAGGTGCCATATTGCCTCCTTTTCCCCTCCCCTGACCCTACCCACGGCTGTCCAAGAGACAATATAGCCACCAGCTGGAGTCACCTCCAGGGAATGGGACCTTCCCTTTTGGGAACCCACAGCTGCCTAAGGGGAACTCAGACTGTGAGCTCCCTACCCACCAGCCCTCCCAGGTGCTGCTGGCATGGTGATCCCAGGAGACCCTGAGGCTGAGAAACATAGACCTAGGTTGGGCTCCCTGTGGCTGAATTGGGACCGGAACTCCTCTCCCTGGTGGGGATATAGTTTGAACTCTGGGACCCAGAGGTCAGACCTGCAGACCAGATCCCATGCACTGAGGTCTCGCATTGCCCGGGGCACAGAAGGGATGTTTGTGAACAGCCTACTGAGGTGTATGTGCCTTCAGGGGAAGATCAGCATCCTAGAGGGCAACCCTCCTCCCAAAAGGAGGCCATACGCCCAGCCCAGGTGGCTTTCCTGCACAGGGAACCTCCCCGCAGGCATCACAGTCCAGGGAGGCCTGGTGGCCTGTGGTCTGGCCTGCTGGCAGAGGCCCAGGAGTAGCTGCAGAGTTGGGGAAGGTGGAAAGAAACCAGGCCTGCTCCAGACCGCAGGTCTCAGACAGCCCCACACCCCCACACAGATTTTCTGATTGAGCAGGGCCATTCTAGTCCCTCCCTGACAGCTTTTCCTGGAAGCAGAGAACAGAACTTTGACCCCTGCAAACGACATTGGTGGTGCCTGAGGGCAGGCCTACCAAACCCAGCTCTTCCCAGACTCTTTCCTAGACCAGCCCTCACTGAAGGGGAGAAAAGGACACACCTGGAAGTCCCAGGGCCCCACTGAACACCTGAGGCACTAGAGTGCTTCTCTACAGGAACAAGAGCTGATAACAGGACACAAAAACAACAGCATAGCCTGTTCCTCCAAGCAAGTGCCACCTATTGACAGGGAGGACATCCTGCACAGCCTTTCACGGCACCTACTGACTGATTATAAAGGGAGTGGTTGAATCTCACCCACAGACACCACCTAACGGCTCAGAAATGAAATAAGGTGTGTGAATACCCAAACAAAAACCTAAAGAAAAGAAACAACAACTGATCGACATGGGAAAGAATCAGGAAGGAACTCAGGAAATATGAAGAACCAAACGGAAAACATCACCCCAAAGAGAGACACCAGCCCCTAGAAAGACACGCAACCAAAACCAGGCAACCAAAAGACCAGAAGAGGAATTTCGATATGTGGACAAAGAACACTCCACAACCTGCAACAACAACCCAATAACCAAACACAAAAGAACCACCAAAAGCCTCAGGATCTAGAACAAAAGTCACTAATAGAAATAGACACAATGAAGAAAAGTTTAACCGAACTCCTGAAATGAAGAATCAATTCAGGGAACTACAAAATACAGTGAAATCTCAGAACAGGGTAGATCAAACAGAAGAATCTCAGAGCTTGAAGATAACACCGTCCAACTAAATAAAACCGTCACAGAGATGGAGCAGAGAAACAAGAGAAAAGAGCAAAGCCTACAAGAGATGTGGATTTGGTGAAGAAACCTATAGGTCATAGGGTTACCAGAAGGGGAAAAAGACAACACTCAAGGGTTGGACAAGATATAATAGAGGAAAATTTCCCAGGCCTTGCTCAAAATCTCAATATACAAGTTCAAGAAGCTGCAGAGGACCCTGGGGAGAATTCAATGCAAGAGGAAAGACGTCATGACATGCAGTCATCCAGACTGACCAAAGTATCAAGTAAGAGGCCTTCTAAGAGCTGTAAGATGAAAGAAGCAAATAACATACAAGGAAGCCAATTCCATAACACCAGACTTCTCTAATGAGACTTTTACAAGCAAGGAGGACTGGGGCCCCATTCTCACTCTTCTGAAACAAAACAATGCCCAGCCTAGAATCTTATTCCCTGCAAAACTAAGCTTCATATATGAAGGAGAAATAAAGACATTCCCAGACAAGCAAACTCTCAGAGAATTCACCAAGACAAGACCAGCCCTACAAGAAGTACTCAAAACAGTGTTATGCATGGAACACCATAATAAAATCACCGAATATAAACAAAACCAAAAGACAAAGAAAAGCCAGATATACAATGGCTCAGAGAGAAATCAAAGAACAACATCCAACCCAACAGAATGACCAGTAATCTACCTTACCTATCAGTTCCCTCAATAAATGTGAATGGCTTAACTCTCCCTCAAGAGACATAGGCTGGCTGAATGGATCAGAAAATACAGCCAAGTATATGCTGTCTTCAGGAAACACATCTAACCTGCAAGGATGCATAATAGACTAAAATAAAAGGGTGGAGATTAGGATTCCAGGCAAGTGGAAGCAAAAGAAGGCTGGCGTGCCAGTTCTAATTTCAGACGATTTAGTTTTTAAACAACAAAAGTAGTGAAATACAAGAGGGTCATTATATAAGGTGAAGGCACACTTCCAAAGAAGAGATAACAATTTTAAATATAATTGCACCAACTTAGGTCACCCAGTTTCATAAAGCAACCTTACTGGATCTAAGCAAATGGATTAATAGCAATCCATAATCATCAGAATTTCAACACCCCACTGACGGACCAAAGACAGATCCTCCAAAGGAAAATTAATAAAGAAATAATGGACTTAAAACAAAACTCGAACAATTGGTTTGACTGACATTTACAGGACATTCTACCCAAAATCCACTGAATAGATGTTCTTCTCATCAGCTCATGGGACATTCTCTAAGATTGACCATATCCTAGGACACAAACTAAAATCTCAAGAAATTTAAAAAATAGATAATCATACCATGTACCTCTCAGATCAAGTGAATAAAAGTAGAAATCAACCCTAACAGAACTCAGCATTTCTACACAAAACGTGGAAATTTAACAACCTCCTACTAAATGATTACTTCATAAATGAAGAAATCAAGATGGAAATAAAAAAAATCTATGAAGATAATGACAATGGAGAGACAAGTTATCAAATCCTCTGGGACACAGCTAAAGCAATTCTGAGAGGAAAGTTTATTTCCATAAATGCCTATAACCAAAAGACAAAAAGATCACAAATAGACAATCTAATGAAACGACTCAG